AAATTTAATATTATTAAATATATATTAAAATATTAATAAATAAAATTTCTTTAATTAAAGAGTTATAAGTATTAATTTAATATAAAAATTGATATACATGAACTGTATGTATAAAATTTTAAATATAACAATTAATTTTAAAAATATCAGTTAAAAAATAAAATTTTAAACAAATCTTTCAAAAAAAGGGACGAAGTACCTTATATTATCCATTTCTTTTTTAAAAAGGGTAATTAGTGTATTTTAACTTGTGCTAGGGACTACAAGTGTCAAGACTTTGAATTAGAAGGACCTGCTTGGATAAGACAACGAAATACGGTTTCTCTTCTCCCGTGTACTTCTCCTCTGTTTCCTCCTCTTCATATCCTTCTCCTCTTTCTTTCTCCTTCTTTTCTCTCTAGATTCTTGTTTCTTCTTCTACAATTCTCAATTCTGAATTGGGAAAATGATTCTTGGATTGGGATTACGTGTTTGTTGTCAATAGATTTCTTCATTGTATTTCTCTTTAATTAACGAGTTTCATGAAGTCTTGTATTTCAGATATGATAGAAAGAATAACGAGTGCAGTAACACAATTTATGAACGGGCTTGCTATGGTGAAGTTTTAAGCCCATGCATTAGAAAGATGAATAAAGTAGGAAAAAGAGTTAACAGCTTATTTTTCATGGTGATTTCTTCCTTTCGCTGTATAAGAGCTCCATTAAAAATGTGAAAACTTAGTAGCTTCAGAGGAAATTCATCATATTATATAGTGATGGAGAAATGAAGAAAAGTAAATAGAATAAAACTCAGATTTAAGCAAAGACGACCACAATAGAGCAGCCTCTTTTGATAGATAGACAAACCCTTGGCTTCAATTCTGCTGCTGTTTACTTGGCTTCAATTATGCAGTATCTGACTGCTGAGGCTCATGATGTCTTCCTCAGCCTCTTCCAGCCGCCCTTTAACAGTATCAAGTTCAAGTCCCTTCCCCTTTTTGGCCTTCTCAGTAATCTCCACCGTCCTCTTCAAGTCCTGCACGGTGATTTGAAGGTTTGTCAACTTTTGTGCATCAGAATCTAGCCTTTCAGGAATCTTTCTTCTGCTTGCTTCTTGGTCTGCCTCTACATATCTCTTGTTGTTCCTCGTAAAAATAAATAGGAAAGAAAATAGACAAAAGAATAGCAAAAAACAATTAATTAAAGATGAAGATGAAAAGTAGAAAGATGTCACCGAAATTATGAGGAGCTTGAGCTGAGGCGTGGATCAATCACTCTCTTTAGGACGTTTCGTGCCACTGGTGCAGCAGATTTTTATGGTCAC